TGTGATTCTGAACTGCCCCAACACAAACAAACCAGACCACTGCTTCAGCATCAAAGCAGGGTTGCCAGCGTGGAGACTGCCGATAAAAACGGATTTTGCAATAAAAATTATTTGCGTTTCTTTCTTATCTCTAGACAAAACGTTTCAGCAGCAAGAAAGAATCATCTCCTATAGCACTAATTAGCAACATAAATCTTACCAAAAGCAATGCCAAGAGATTTTATTGTTTGTCACTATACATGGTAATAGAATTTCTGACATTTTAGCCGTCTAAAAAATGCAGGATCTTTAATAAGCCACAGTACAAATCAGAGATCCTAATTTCACCATTTTATCACAGATACTGCAAAAGAGAAAACATAAAAAGACTTAAACCAGGAGGTAAAAACAAATTTATTCTAAGCATTATCAGGAATAAAAAAAAAATCATTCATATGCCAAGAGTTAAAAAATCTAGAGCTGTCAAGTGAGTGTTCCACATTGCAAAATCTAATATACCGTATCTCTATCTTCCAAGAAACACTAAACCCAACAGAGATTGTTTATAAAACTTTTTAGATGTCCCTACCGGGATATGTAAATATGAGCTGCTGCTCCGCGAAGAGTTCATCTAACAGATTTTTTTACAGTAAGGCATATTAAAACCTACCTCATAAATACTGCCCTGTTTCTAACCTAGCAGATTTTTTATTGCCTGGGGTGGTTGTGGTTTGTGTGTGTTTTTCTCTTTATTTTATGACCCTCTTACCCTCATTAGAAACTACTCAGCTATTATTAAGTAATATAAAAACTGTATCACAGTTCATGCCACGTTTATGACAAATATTCTGTAATGGTAACACTGAGTACATAAAAAATGAGTCCTCCCTGGTGAATGGTTGTTTTGCTCTGGCTAGATAAATAAGGCAAGGTTTACTCCATGACCCTGCAGCCCCTGACTTGTCACAGTAACAAAGCACACACTCCTTGGAAAGCATCACTTTAAAAATTACACTAGACAGGACAGAGATAAACACATCCTCTGGCATCAAAAATGCAACAATCCTCTTTGTAAAGGAATAAGTTCTGAGTAAGCAAATCAAAAGTAGAATTAGGATCGCAAACAATCACCCAAAGCATGGTAACCACAGTTACTCTTCTTTTTCTACACGAATATTGCAGACAAGAACATTTCTACAGCAGCAGACTAACTCCCTGAAGAAAAGGGAATGTTTAGCTAAAGGGTCCACAAGAATATCGAATATCCATCTGCAAAAGCAGCAGACTGGAATATCCACATAATCCCCCCTAGCTAAGTAGCACAGCTATTTGATTGTATAGAAGAGTCCGATCATCTGCAAAACATTTTAAGCAACTGTGACTGATCAATTGTTGACAACCAATACATGTGAAAGAACAGAAGCCTAAAATCCTCAGCAAAGCAAAAGTATAGATGGATGAGATGATGTATAATATACAATTATGTTCATTAATCCTTCTATCCTACTGTATAAAGGGAAGTAAAATTTACCAAATACATTTTTCAGTAAAAGGAGAACCAGATCTAGGAAAATCATGCTAACATCATCCATTAATACTTTTTCAATAAAAACCATATATCCTGACAATGTATCATATTCAGATATCATATTCAGATATCTTTTTTTAAACCCACATAAAAATTACTTATTTCATTCTAGATTTTTCAGATAGAATTTAATCACACTACAAATTTCATCAATAACACAGTGCTATACGGAATATGATGTATAGACGTGGTCCTCCTTTCATCTGTCTCCATAAAAATATGTAATTTAAAGTGCTATTTGAACAGAGAAAAAGATAGCATAATTCCAAAAATTTTTTCTCAAAGTAAGAGCATCACATATACTGAACATATTCAAATACCCACATTAGCTTTGACAAAATGATCATGTAGTATTTTTTTTCTAAGTTATAAAGTTAAGCCAGTGGCTTTTACAATACTGTGTTTGAATGCAAGCAACAGAACAACAACTTTACTTGTTCACAGATAATCTCCTAAGATTATCGGCATGCATATACTTAGCAGAATCGCCTCAAAATAGTTAGGCTCCTTTTGATCTAAAATCAACTACTGAACGGGATGAAAAGTACGATCCATTATGTTAAGAAGCTTCAAAGTTTGAATCCAAGCCAGACATCATTAAGCACCAGCAAATTATCATCTTGAGAAAGATTATTTACTCAACAGCTATATACTGAGTATCTACCAAGTGCCAGCAGTACTAGGTACAGGATGCTGCCCTTAAAGAGCTCACCGACACCAGAAAGGACAGACAAGAGCAAAATCACAGTGCACCAAAGTAAATGCAAGAGCAAACATGGCTGACACACAGAGAATGAAGACTCCCATGGTATGTGACACAAGTGGGTTTCCATTAATTTCAGAGTGGAAAGATGATGGATACAGACTCTGTCATCTCTTTCTTAGAAATGCTAGGTCCAATGGTGGTTTGTTTGGGGAAGGACTGTTAACATTATCTGTTACCCAGAGACCAGAGGGTTATGGCCACATCAGTAACTTTGCAATCACTTTCCTGTATTTTATCAGGCAATATGCATTTCTTGAAAAATATATCTATAATAAATACCTAGAAATTAGTCAGTTATGTTTGACCTTCTGATGATGGAATTTCTAAATTTACGAAAAATATGTACAGTTACACTTCATTTGCTCAGCAGCCTTAAATATTTGGAAAACATTTAAGAACTTGAAAAGTATGAAAATGGTTCATTAAGTCAGTAAATAAATGTCAGCATCTGCTACCTAAAACAACATTCATATCATACAGGGCTGTCCCTAAACTCACTCAAGATCTAAACACGTTTATTTTACAAGTATTTCTAACAAGCAAACTACAGCTACAACACCAGGGAAGAGTCAGCATAGATATGTGTGCTTTAAGTAAAAAACCACAAGGGACAAGAAGTAGGAAAGTTAAAGAAACAGTGAAAAGAAACGAGAACACAAATGTGTAGACTGCAGCCGCTCAGTGGCAGGCCTAACTTTATAAAATAGAACTTTCAAAGAATGGTAGTCTCCTTTTTTGTGCTTCCCCTCTCCTATTCAACTTGAGAACTGCTTACAAGTAGGGCTTTTAATGACATTATTCTGGTCCATTCGGTACTTTTAACTTTTAAAGTGCTGTTGAGAGCCATAAGGGGAATTTTACACCTCAAACTACATACCAACTGACAGCAGCAGAACTGCCCTGCGCCGATGGCTAACCTAGTGCCCCAAGTTCGAACACCCACGTCTAGGAGATGCGTCTCCTATCTCATGTCTGTACTGGCAGACAGCACTGGCACAGAGGGCACTCCAACAGGGATTGCTACCTGTACACGTTTAGTCCCTTTTTCATTTGGTTGTGGCACAAGTATTTTCACTACTTTCTAAATGGTATAAATATTTTCAGGGTTACTGACAGATGGCATGGCTAAAATTAATTTCCAATTTTCCTGTTCGGGTCCCTAACTCTTAGTGCTGATCTTTGACTGGGAACGGGATTACCTCCGACAGGGCTATGAAGTACTGTCAGCAACAAACCTGGGGGGTTGTTCCCACCACTGTGTGAGGGGACAGTGCCCACAAACACAGCTTAGTGATCATCACAGGTGCTTCTTCAGAGAAGGCAGAAACAATGTATCCAAAACGGATTCACTTCTGAGCACCAGAGCCTTATATCCCACTAAATTGTGATACCCCTGGATCTAACTTGCAAAGCATACATTTTAATCAGCTAGAGGGTACTGTTAACCACACTGCAAAGTTACAGAGATTCCAGGTAGAACACATTGTTTTTAGAAAAAGTTGGCCTCCAGAGAAGATTCATTTCTCCCAGCAGTTGTATCTCAATATCAGAACATCCAAAAGATAGCTCAGTAGGTTTCATCGTGACCAAGGTAAAATCACTGTAACTGTGATGTTGCAGCCAGCAACTCATTCACAAAATGCACCGGATGTAACATGAGGAGTGGCATATACCTATGAGGTTATCACTATTTTAATTTAGAATTAAGCTCTTGTTTTCCTCATTGAGTACTATCACAACATATTCCTAAACTGCTGGCTAAGCCAAATTGGTAAAGCTAACACAGAAATAAAACAAAGGAACACCAGGGATAAAGACAACGTGGTACACCCATAAATGGAATATTGTTTGGCAACAAAAAGGAACAAAGTTCTGATAGAGGTAACATGAATGAACCTTGAGAAAAATTACACTAAGTGAAAAAAAGCCAAAGGCTACATTTATATGAATTCCATTTATATGTAATGCCCAGAAGAGCAAACTCATAGAAACCATAAAGATCAGTGTTTGCCAGAGGCCAGGAGAATGGGGAAAGGGGCGTGCTTGCTAATGGGCCTGAGGTTTATTTTAGGTGACGAAAATGTTCTAAAGTCAGACAGTGGTGATGACTGCACAACTGTGTGAATATAAAATAAACCACTAAACTGTGTATTTTAAAAGGGGAAATTCTATAATATGTGAATCTTAGCTCAGTAAAGCTTTTATTTAAAAAGGGGAGGCAGGAGGGTCCAACAGCTGATAAAAGTTACTCTGAGTAAAAGCTCTTAAAGCAAGAGACTAAACTTTCAGCCACGTTTACTGGGGCTTTAAATTTTATTAGCGTTGACTCATCTTTGTATCCTGCGAGCCCTCACTGCTTAATTTCAGAAATACAGACTCTTCTTACAAGAAACAAGAGCAGGTCTGACTCTGAGGAGGAGCTAAATCACAAAGGGTAGCTGCTTGGTCACAAAGTGCAATTCATTCTATATCAATCCATCTAACGTCATTGATTAACAGGCAGTTCCAAGAAAATCTTAGGTCATCCAAATACTTTGCAATCAAAAGAATTCGGAGGTAGTTACTTAATTCGCAATCAACTACAGTATCAAAATCTACCTATTCCTTGCAGCTAGTAGAAATTATTAATCCATCAAAACAGGAAAAGTGTTAAATATGAATACTGACCTTGTTTCTTTTAATCCTTCCTTCTGAATGACTTCCAATATCTGCTTTGCTGTCATTGGTGAGTTGGGATGTTTTTCTAGTGCCTAAAAAATAAACATAACATTTCTAGATTATTGCATGGAAGTATACAAAACAGAAGTGTGAATGAATCATGCAACAACTGCTTTAAGTTTTAAAGGGGAAGGGGCTTCTATCTCAAAATAAGTTCTCATCACACAGTTAAGGTGTCCAACGGGAAAACTTAATGTTTTTCTGGGCTTCTAAAACGTCAATTTCTGCAGTGTACAGGGGCCATTCTTCAAAAAATGTCCCAAAGGTTTATACACACACCAAAAAAACAAACAAAAAAAAAAAAGCAAAAAAAAAAAAAGAAATGTGGCACCTAATGAAACCAAGCCAATATATACAAATAATTTGCTTTATTTGAAAAATCACTAATGTTTTGTAGGCAAAGACATAGCTTCAGGCTATTAAAATGTCTCCTTAGTTCTCAAAACCTTGGAAACTTGGAGCCTGGGTGATAATACTGGTCAAAAACAGCCTTACAGGGCTGGGGATATAGCTCAGTGGCACAGCGCCTGCCTGGCAAGCTTCACAATATTCATAGTTCAATCAAGCACATTTGTATTTTTAAAAGTGAGAAACAAAATAAAATCTTCAATACTAAAATATTGAAGGAAGAATGCAGAAGCCAAGGACAGTTGCTGCTGTGTGTTTTCCAGTTCAGCTCAGTTTCCTTTGCCTTTTCCAATTAATTTTAAGTAAATCCTTTCCACTTTCTATTCAGCCCATCTCAGTTTTATGAATTCAGTCCCATTTTCTTTCTCTCCCCTTCTGCCCTGCTTGTTCTTTGGGGAAGGGGGTTCTCTTAAACTGAGGGAATGGCAATAAATGAGTTGATTATTTCCACAGGCATGAGACCATCAGCCCTGGTAATCAAGTTCTTTTATTTAACCAGGGACTTAACTCCATGCAGCAGAAGCAATCAATGGCAGAGCCCTCGAGGCTCACCCACATGGATCTCAGGGACCAGCTCTGGGTGTAAGAAACAAATCTACACGTCCCTTCAAATGACCTCCTCTCTCAGGGGAGATGACACCTAATTAAAGATCTTACGGAGCTTCATGCACAAGTCATGGCCCCATTCAACATGGTGCTAGTGTTCTCATTTATGATTATTTACTAGAAGGACCATACTTATTAAGAATTAACAGGGCTACCCAAAAGGTTCCCCAGTCTGTTGAAAATAGCTCCATAGTCTTGTCTACTGTGAATGGCTAACTTTCAACTAGTTCACTAGTTTTGTCCATTGGGGTCTTCCAATGAGATACCTACAGCCTGCCCATCACATTTAGGCTGCTCCCTAATGCCCCCTTTCCAGTTCATGGGCCATTTCCCCATTTTCTCAATCTTAGTCAATCCCTAATTCATGGTTAGTAAGTTCCTTAAGAAAACAGAAACAGGAATCACACTAGAAAGAATGTATGACAACAAGTATGTCCACAGGGAAGAAGGAAAATGGTCCTCACAGAGGACGAAACTGGAGAGCTGAACTGAAAACTGGGAAAGGGTATAAAAGAACAGGTAAAGCAGTATGGGGGAAAAGGAGTAAAGGCCAAAAATATTGGGAAAAAGGCAATAAGGAAACTGCATAATAGAGCTGAAAGTGAGAAAAGATTTGATCACATAGAAAGAAAGAAAGAAATAGGCTTGAAAACAAAAAAGAGCTGACAGAATTTTTGAAAAAAGAAACTGTTAAGTAGAATAGTGTATAATTATGAGTTAGAGAAAGGAGATGTTGTGGTCACATGGTCTACATATATGGTGGGCATCACCCCAAATGAGAGGCCATGCTGGGAACATTGATGGTCTCTCATAAAAGATACGAGCAGAAGGCCAACAGACACAGACAGACACTAAGCGAGCAAGGATAAGGGGAACAGGAGAGGAGAGGCACAAGGCTGAGGGAAAAGGGTGCACGGGAGAGACAGGTAAGAAAGGAGGAAAATTGAGCTGAACTGGGAATGGCTAAAAGCAAACCGGTTCAATCTAGAAAGGGCCGAAGAGGAAACTCCAGTGTACTGGGCAACGTTTTAACAGAAATTTGGGTGCACTCAAAAGTGGGGTTACTCACGGTGGAGGACTCCCTGTTTCTCTTCCTGAGTACAGGCCCCTCAGCACACCTGGGCAGCTCCTCCCAGCAATTGAGAGAATTTGGATAGCCCTGTCCCCTTCTCTATGACATCACATCCTACTCTACAAAGGAAGTAAAAGTGCCAAGAATTACATCAGGAAGTAGAAGGGAGGCAGGAAGGAAATGATGAAGCCACACAGAGCACCAGAAGCCACCCTCAGTTCCTGCAAGACACAGAAAGGAGACAGAAGAGGAGAGGTTCCTAGGTATAAGTGAGCTTTACTGAACTCTAGCTGTGTACACATCAGTTGAACAAAAGAAAGAAATTACTGTCACTGAACAAAACATTGATACCATCACAATAATGTGACACAGGCAGAGACATAAATCAGACTCACGGGCAGTCATACTCCGACCTTTAGAGTGAGGAAAGCTCAGTCAGCCAGAGGACAACGGCATCCTAAGCTCTCAGGTCTAAGCGGTAGACCTAGTAATGGCCATGGCCCAAACAGGCTGTTGGGCATGAGGCATTACCTGACCTTGGACTCGTTTGGATTTTTTAACCATTTACACAAAGTTTTCGATTTTTACGCAAGAAGTTCTATCAACCCAAACACACACTGGCTTCTGCTTTAATGCACTGAAATTCCTTTTATCCAGACAGCATGCAAATGCCTACAAATGTTTCTCTCAAGTTATACTTTGGTTCATCTGAAATTTAACTTTTGTATTAAGCTAAAATATTGACTTAAACCCCAATTTCCCATTCATAAGCCACATTTCTCTATTATTATGTTCCATAAACCACACGTGGTTAGTGAGGCATCCTCTACCATATATAACTATAAACACCAAATATAAATATAAGAATACACTAAAACGAATATATAAACGTGGGAACTCAAAACACGCAGAACTGTTTTTGTTCAGCTGCAGCTGAGACCTAAGAACCCATCCATACTACTCCCTCTAATGGCTACAGGTACATGCAGGAATCCTAAGGGTCTCCAAACTTCAAATCACCCTTCTTGGGGCTTGTCCAGGGGTCCCTGTGGGCTTCACTGATCGTTCAGTCAACTGTTATGTCAGTATACACTGCTGTAACTGCAGTGACATAATAATATACCTCACTCTCTGGACAGGACACTGCTCTCATTATTCCTTCTTATGTTTCTAATTACTCACTTTATTTTGCCAGATGAAATTGAGATTGGGTTTGAGTGAAGCATCTAATTAAATTTGGAAGGAACTTAAACACATTATTCCACTTAAGATCTATTTTAAAACCGACAATAACCTTTTTATGGGCTTATACTTTTCAGTTGTGGTTACAAACTTTTTCTGTAACATTTTCATATCTTATTACTAGTGTATTCAACAATACTGGATTCTGATAGTCATCTATACAAATGACTAAGTGAATTCTCAGAAGTTCTGGTTATACAAAAATAAAGAACCATTCTTCTTACAAATAAGATGATTTGGGTCTCCTTTCTAACGTGTGTTTTCTCTTTCTTATATTATTTACTTGGGCTAAAAAAGTGATGTTTCCTATTCTATTTCAAAAAGTTTTGAAAATTTTATTTCCTCAAAAACAAGCCCCTAACACTGCCATTGCCATGTTTTGCTAAGGATACGTGCAGCTATAATCTTTTTGACACCAGTCTGACTATGTAGTCCAGGTTATCCTGTCTCAGCCTCCTAAGTGCTGGGATTACAGGCATGTGCTACCACACCTGGCTGTACCTAGAATTATTAGAAAGAGTGCTGCCAAGAGAGGAATGTAATTAGAAACCAGTGGCCAGACATCACTGTCTTTTCTATATAAATCAGTCTGTCCAAGCGCTCAGTCTTAACATAAAATGTCCTTTCTTTCTTTGTACCACATTGTTCTCCTGTGTCAGAGCTGCATTCATGATCAGACTTAGCTCTCTCTATCTCTAGGGGCTGCCTCGCGTCTCTCCACACCTTTCAGTTCTCAGCTACTTTCTTTCCCTGGCATTGTTAGTCAGGAAAGGTTTCAAATTCAACACTGTTCTGTAAAAGGGAATCGGCAGGGACACAATGGATACACAGCAATGGTACCTTCCCAGTGAAGGATCTTTTATTTTTCACAGGAGGTGAACTAATGTGCAGAACTGGAAAATACAAGGTTGGATTTCACCTCTTTGCCTGGCCGTATTACAGCCTATCTCAAAGACGCCAGATTCATGCAAATCAGAGCCAATACAGTCCCATCCCAGAAATGTCCCTCTGCAGACTTCCACACGCCTCAGTGGGGCCGAAACAAGCCTTTCCCGAAGGACAGCAACATCTGCATGGAAGAGCAGGGACGGGGGAGTGCCAAACCTCTTCAGGCACAGGCTGTAATACAGAGAATGTGCCTTTCTATGGCTTAAGTTCACGCTTTAAGTACTTTTTGAACCAAGAACACTGGCTCAGATATCTTAAAGGCTTACTCAAGAATTCCTTAGTGCCTCTCAAACAGAAAACTCATTTTAAATGTCCTTAAGATAAATACAATAGACCAGTGTTCACTTGAAGGTTAAAGTTTTGGCCTTTCAGGACTTAAATAAAACTTTTTGAGAGAGCCTCTTTGATTGTAAAAAGAAAAAGGGAAGAAATGGGAAAAAAATTCTCCACAATTTAAAAATCGTTTCAGTGTTTACATTTGCAGAACCCTAAATGAGTATTAATGACCAGGCTTTCTCTCCTTTTCCTCACATTAATGTGTGTTTCCCTAATCCACACTAGCAGTTCATTAAAGTGCTCATATACTTAAGGCCTCATGTCCTGGGCGAACAATTATAAAGTTATAATAACAATAAACTATTATACAGCTCTCCGCAATTACAGATTACTTGTACACAACATAAAGCATTTCATTTGCTTTCATAGAACATATGACTGTATTTAATCCTCACAACACTGTGTTCTTCATAGAAGAGG